TTTCACTTTCTTTAAAAAAAGACACAAGATTCTTTCACATTCTTTAAAAACAATATCAGTGGCTACAAAAATTTTTTCATATTTAAAAAAAAATCATGGACCACTAAAACACTTACAAGCTCTTTCAAAAAAGACACTGCGGACTTTCAAGAATATTTCATTTTATCCAAAAAAGATACAAAGGGCCGCAAAGATTCTTTCACATTCTTAAAAAAAAGGTACGAAGGGCCCTGAAAATTTTTTCAAATTTTTTTCAAAAAAACACCAGTGGCTCCAAAGATTCTTCCATATTCAAAGAAAAGGAATCAATAACCACTAAAACCCTTTCAAACTCTTTCAAAAAAGACACTACGGACCCCCGAGATTATTTCACTTTTTTCAAAGAATATACCAGGAGGCCAAAGATTCTTTCACATAAAAAAATACCATTGGATCCGGAGATTCTTTCACGTTCTTAAAAGAAGATACTAGAGGCTTCGAAGATTTGATAGCCTTAAATAAACGAAACTAAGGACCCCCAAAAATACACTACATCACATAAAAAGTGCAACATCCAAAAGGAATACAACGGCAAATCTTTCTTATCTTAGCAAGTACTAGCCCCGCCCACCCGCCCTCTAGTTTCTTAGAGTGTATGTCATTCGCCACAATCAGATTTAACTTAACTAGCATTAGCCCCGCACCCTTTATTTTCTTAGAGAGTATATATCATTTACCAAAATCAGTCTTATCTTAGCAGGTACTAGCCCCACCCACCCGCGCTATTCTCATTCAAACGATTTTATTTCTGTTGAATATAAGATCCACCTAGTAGATAAAATGAATTTCAGAAATGGAGGCGGGATGGGTGGGCGTGGTTAATTATATGCTTAAAGTGGAAATCGGAACCAATAGAACGTAAGTTTACACAAAGTTTATTTCCACTCAAAAGTTCCCTAGTTTTCTCTTCCTGTAATTCCAACAGCTGCTTTCTTCCATCATCTGATTTTCACAAATACTAGCCCCACCCACCCACCCTTTGTTTTCTTGGAAGCTATGTCATTTACCAAAATCAGTCTGATCTTAAAAAGTACCTGCTAAAATAAGAACAAATTTTGGCAAATGACATACCCTGTAAGAAAAGAGAGGGCGGGTGGGCGGGGCTAGTACCTGCTAAGATAAGACTGATTCTGGCAAATGGCATACCCTCTAAGAAAAGAGAGGGTGGGTGGGTGGGTGGGGCCAGTATTTGCCAAAAGATAAGACTGATTTTGGCAAATCAGATACCCTCTAAGAAAAAAACAGGGCGGGTGGGCGGGGCTAGTACTTATAAGATAAAACTGATTTTACCAAATGACATACTTTATAAATAAATAAAGAGTGTGTGGGTGGGGCTAGTACTTTCCAAGTAAAGACTGATATTGCCGCATAACATACCCTCTAAAAAAATAAAGGGTCAAATGGCAATCTTGGAAAGTATTGGCCAAAATTATTTCACTTTCTTAAAAATGACACAAAGGGACTCCAAGATTCTTTTACCTTTTCAAAAAAAGACACAAACTCACAAAGATTCTTTCACAATCTTAAAAAAAAGACACAATGGACCCACAAAATTATTTTCATTCTTAAAAAACAACACCAGCGGCCCTCAAGATTCTTTGATATTCTTTAAAAAAGATACTAGGGACCCTCAAGATCATTTAACGTTCCAAAAAAAAACACACACACAGGACCTCTAAGACTCTTTGAAGTTCTTAAAAAAAAAAAACGCGAAGAAACCGTAAGATTTCTTAAAACTCTTTCAAAAAAAGATACAAAGGGTCCTCAAGACTTTTTCACATTAAGGATTCCCAAGATTCTTTCACATTTTTAAAAGAAGATTTCTTCATGGTCTTAAAAAACGAAAATAAAGATCCCCAAAAGTATTTCACTTTCTGAAAAAGGACACAAAGGAACTCGAAGATTATTTCACTTTAAAAAAAGATACAAACTCCCCAAAGATTCTTTCACAATCTTAAAAAAAAAGGACAAATGGGACCAACAAAATTACTTATTTCCATTCTTAAAAAAACACAAGCGGCCCTCAAGATTCTTTCACATTCTTCAAAAAAGGTACTAAGGACCCTCAAGATTATTTCACATTCCAAAATAAAAACACACACGTAAACAACCCTTAAGAGTTTAAAGTTCTTGAAAAGAAAAACGCCAAGAAACCGTAAGATTTCTTAAAACTTTTTCAAAAAAGATTCAAAGGGTCCTGAAGATTTTTTCACATTAAGGATTCCCCAAGGTTCTTTCATATTTTTAAAAGATTTCTTTATAGTCTTAAAAAAACGAAACTAAAGATCCCCAAAAATATTTCACTTTCTTAAAAAGACACAAAGGGACTCGAAGATTCTTTCACCTTTTCAAAAAAAAGACACAAACTCCCAAAAGATTTTTTCAGAATCTTTAAAAAAAAGGACAAAACGGACCCACAAAATTACTTATTTCCATTCTTAAAAAAAAACACACAAACGGCCCTCAAGATTTTTTCACATTTTTAAAAAAGATACTAGGGACCCTCAAGATCATTTCACATTCCAAAAAAAAACACAGACACGTAAAGAACCCCTAAAACACTTTGAAGTTCTTAAAAAAAACGCGAAGAGACCGTAAGATTCCTTAAAACTCTTTAGAAAAAAAAATACAAAGGGTCCTCAAGACTTTTTCACGTTAAGGATTCCCCAAGATTCTTTCACATTCTTAAAAGAAGATTTCTTCATAGTTCTTAAAAAACGAGACTAAAGATCCCCAAGAGTATTTCACTTTTTTAACAAAGACACAAAAAAGTTCGAAGATTGTTTCACCTTTTCGACAAAAAGACAAATCTCCCAAAGATTCTTTCACAATCTTTAAAAAAAAAGGACAAAACGGACCCACAAAATTACTTATTTCCATTCTTAAAAAAAACATCAGCGGCCCTCAAGATTCTTTCACATTCTTTAAAAAAGATACTAGGGATCCTCGAGATCATTTCACATTCCAAAAAACACACACAAAGGATCCTTAAGACTCTTTGAAGTTCTTAAAAAAAAGCGAAGAAACCGTAAGATTTCTTAAAACTCTTTAAAAAAAATACAAAGGGTCCTCAAGACTTTTTCACATTAAGGATTCCTCAAGACTCTTTCACATATGTACTTAAAAGATTTTTTCGTATTCTTAAAAAAACGAAACTAAAGACCCCCAAAAGTATTTCACTTTCTTAAAAAACACAAAAGAACTGGAAGATTCTTTCAACTTCTCAAAAAAAAGACACAAACTCCCCCAAGATTCTTTTATTTTTTCAAAAAAAAGATACAATCTACCCCCTAAGATTTTTTAATATTCTTAAAAAAAATACCAGTGCCTTCCAAGATTATTTCACATTTTAAGAAAAAAGACACAAAGGACCCCTAAAACTTTTTGAACCACTTTTAAAAAAAAAAGAGACGGAAGAATCCTAAGACTCCTTTAAACTCTGCCAAAAAAAGGCCCCAAAGTTTTTTCGTATTCTTAAAATAAACTAGATCCCCAAAAATTATTTCACTTTCTTAAAAAAAGGAGCAAAAGATCTCTAGGACTCCTTCAAGCTCTTTCAAAAAAGATATTAAGGACTCCCAAGACGATTTCATATAATTTAAAAAAAAGACACTAATAGCTTCCCAAGACTCCTAAGACATTATAAAAAGAAGACAGAAGTTTCCACGCCCCTGAGGCACAACCAGTAAGTCCATTTTCCTAGATAAATTGTAAAATTTGGTTCTGCGAATTTCTTTCTTTTACGATAACTTGATAACCCAATAAATTAAAAAATGTATAGTGTTCAAAAAATGGCGCACAACTCTGGAGTTTGAGAAAAATCATTAAAAAATTCTTTAGGTCAATTTGACGTTCACTTACAAAAAAAATAAGTTTTTTGTAATGTTATAACAAAATGAAAAATTATTTTGAATAATGAAAGTACAATTAATTTCAAATACCCAACACAAAGTGTTGAATTAAATTTTGGTGAAATTTCAACAAGACAAATTAACTTCAAGGGGTTATATCTTGTAGCAAAACTGCCACCCAATATATATTTATTTTCATCCACTTTGTCCCAACAAACCTCAGTTCCTGTGTATAGATCTTAACTTAGATTTCGGCCAAACTGATAGAAAAGTTCGTGAAGTTATCGATATTCTTTCAGCTTTCAAGTTACATCAGTGCGTTTATAAATCAATCAGAGGTCAGGAAAATGCTCATGGGGCCGTAGGCAATATTTTTTCTAACACTGATGTTGGCGATAATAATACAGAAATTATTTTCTTTGACATACTCTTATCTGGCTTTTGTGATTAAATTATTTCATAATCATAACGAAATGAGAATTTGTTGAGTTTAGTACGAAATATGTACTTTAAAAATTCATCATATCTCTTGAGTCATGAAGCGACGTCAACGCAATAACGAAAATAAGCTTAAAAAGAAAACTGGTATTTAATTTAAAAGTCCACAATAACAGGATCGTTAAAATAATTCTCTAAAATGATCTAACTGCTGCATATTAACCCTCATCCCCATACAAACTAAAACAACCCTAAATCCCCAACTTGTCATTACGACAAACTTCCCTCCTGCATTATTTGCTAATAAATTGAACTTGATTATTCCAGCAACTCGAAGACAAAATTTCAAAGTTAATAAAAACTTCATCAACTTTCCGTGCAAGTTGTTTGTCGAGACAAAGACATCTAATTGAACCGAACTTCCAGTAAAACAGCGCCGTTTTATTTTCCCCTTGTTCCAGGTTTTATTTGATTTTTATGTGTCACCCCAAGCGCGGATTCTATTAAAAATACCATTCTTCTTAAGCGCTAATGGCCCTCGGAATTCTGAGCAGCCGCGATCGAAATGGACTTTCAAAACCTTGTTTGTTTATTTAAATGACCAATTCCTCGAACAAAATCCTGCTATAGTCCCTCTCTGCGGGACATCCACACCCCCCGTCGTCCCATTACCTGTGGCGGTATCCACTCGATCTCTCCCAGGGCGACCCACGACGTAGCATGAATAACGGCCCATAATCCTGGCGCTCCGTCGGGAAGATGTTCGACCGCGTACAGGGACGCCGCCAGGATCTGGGTCTCGGAGGAGACATCTAGCTGCAGGACGTGCAACCGGCCCGAGCACTCTTCCTTCAGTTCCTCGGCGATGGGGTTGTCGTTAGCGTTCTGGAATCCTGCGAACACCGTGAATCCTTGTTCGTCCAGATGGCGGGCGAGGGCGTTGCCGATGCGGGAGTCGCAGCCCGTTATCAGGACAGCTTTTCCTGCTGCAGTCACCTGCAAGACGCGCCAAATTCAAAAACTGATCGATGAGAGATTTCGGAGAAAGGAGATTCGAAAGTGGCGCAGTTTCTAGCAATTTTCGGTTTATGTAAATAACTGACGTTTATCTAGTTGTGGCGTCATCGATTTGTTCCTGTTTGTCGGAATGCGTTATTATTATTGTAAGGTGGTTCATTCATGGCCCAAAGCGGCGATTATGAGGAAAGCTGACATGTAGGAACGTGACCGGAGTACGGATTCGGGCCAGTTCGCTTTTTATGTAAGCAGAAATTTAAAATGTAAAGTGGCTATGCGCCAATCATAAAAATTTTAAAGCTAAAATAAATATTAAATTTGTTCCGATGGAAAGTTTTCGTTAGCATTATCGCCGCTAAGTATTAAAATATGTTAGAAGAGGTGAATTCATTTGAATTTGTAAATTCGTTGTTTCGGATCGGGTTTCGTATACTTGGAGCGTTTTGGATTCTTCGGCGTGGGCACGGTTTCAAACTGGAATCAGGTCAAATAATGTGCACATATTTTCTCGTTTATACGCCCACGGGGATTTGTGACCTTTAGGCACGTGGTCGACGCAAAAAATTTCAAATTTCGCCGAGGAACAACGCTAATGTAGGCGAATGGAAAGTACGGAGACTGAGGCTAATTTTGGGCGTGTGCATGTTGAGTGATGATGTGTTTACGGGGTTTTTATGTACGTTTTGACCGATATTTTATAAAAAAACTCACGAGTTTGTAGTTTATGCGAGAGTTTTGAGGGGCATCTTTAAATAACTTTTTAACGACATTATTAGGTTTTACCTGAGATCAAATTTTCGTGTTTTTTATGTTGAAGGAGCCAATTAAACCGAATATTTCTGTGTTGATACGAATTTAAGTTTTTACAATTTGCTAGAATTTCATTCCTTTGATGTTTCTTGGACTATGAAAATAAAAGCTTTTATGAGCTAGGTCTTCCACAATGGTTGAAATAAGTTCAAAATTATGTTCACTCGTTCACTGTGCTTTTTTCAATAAATTTATTCAGTTCCAATTCCGATCAGACTTTAATAAATAAAATATTTGTATCATTGTGAAGTAAAAAAAGGACTGCAGGATTTTCTTTTATTATTTTTTACGACCAGTTACGGTTAGTAATAGCCATCTTCAGGCGTTTATAATTCAGCGTGACAATTCTTGGTCTGAAGATGGCTAGTCAATAGCCGAAACCGGCTGTGAAAAATAATAATAAATATAGTAATAAAAAAGATCCTGCCTATAAAGTTTGGTATATGAAATACAAAGAACAACTTAAAATATATAAATAGGGTCAGTCACTAAGCGCGCTCCTCTTGATCTCTCATTACTTATTAGAATATAAAAAAGTCACAGACTAAATTTAAGAATCAGTGACCCCATTTTCTCCAAAATGTGAAGAATACGCACCTCAAGACAAACTCATTCAAATCAAACTAACTTCAACGTGACATTCTTTCGATGTATAAGTATAAATAAACACTTGAGGTTCAGATCGCTATTACCTAGTGCTGAAAGACAAGGGGTGTTATTTATGCCTCTTGTTTTCACTTTACAGCGGTTATCACAAAATAAATATCGTAAAATCAAATTTTATCATTTTTAATATCTGGATTTGTCGGATTATACTTACAACCTTCGACCATTTTTTTTATGATCAAATTAAAAACCTCATTTTTTAGATTTGCTTATACAGAGTCACTTAAAAAAATTAATGAATCAGTCAATTTATTTTATTGAATAAAGCAAGAATTGCAAAACTGTGTAAAGAAAAAACTCAACTCGAAAATGCTGGATATGTTTCATTCTACTTCAGGAGCGAGGGAAGTTCTGTCGAAACAACTTTTGGCCAATTTTTTTTATTTTTAGATTTCTTGATTTTCTGATATTTCACTTCTACGATTTTTTAATTTTTTTATTCTTCAATTTTCGATTGTTTAATTTTTCCATTTTTCAATTTCAATTTGTCGATTAATCGATTTTTCGATTTCTTGGTTTTTCAATTTTTCGACTTTCCGATCTTTCCATTTATCAATTTTTAGATTTTGGAATTCTTCAATTTTTAGATTTTTCGAATTTCCGATCTAGGTTTTTCAGTTTTTTGATTCTTTAATTAATTGATCTTTTAAATTTTTCGACTTTTTCAATTTTTCGATTTATCAATTTTTCAACATTTCACTTTTCGATTTCTTGATTTTCCGTTATATCAGTTTTACATTTGTCAATTTTTTATTTCTTCAATTTTTGAAAATGTTAATTTTTCCAATTTTCCATTTTTCAATTTTTGGCGTTTCTAAGTTTTCGCTTTGTCGATGTTCTAATTTCCCGATTTTTCAGTTTTCAATACCTCAGTTTTTAGATTTTTCAATTTTATATTTTTCAAGTTCTTGATTTTTCAATTGTTTCATTTTTCCAATTTTAGATTTTTTGATTTTTCAATTGTTTGATTTTTCCCAATTTTCGAATTTTCGATATCTCAGTCTGTCGACGTTTCAATTTTGGAATTTTTCAATACATACTTCGATTTTTCGCCTTAGATTTCTCGGTTTTTTATTTTTCGATTTATTGAAATTTTGATTTCTCGATTTTTCAGTTTTTTGATTTTTTGATATTTTAAAATTTAGATTTTTTGGTTTCTCCATTCTTGAATTGTTCAATGTTTCAATTTGTCGATTTTTTAAATTTTAGATTTTTCGATTTTGAATTTTTTGATTGTTCAATTTTTCGATTTCCCGATTTATTGAGATTTCGATGTTTTAATTTTTCGATTGCTTAATTTTTAATTTTTCGTTTCCGTTGTTTCGATTTCTCGATCTTTTAATGTTTCTATTTCTCAATTTTTCAATTTTTCAATTATTCGATTTTTCGATTTCTGGGTTTTTCAATTTTTCGGCTTTTCGTTTTCTGGATTTTCCAATTTTTCGATCTTTTTATTTTTCAATGTTTCGACTTTCAATTTTGGTATTTTTCAATTTACCTATTTTCCAACTTTTCGATTTTTCAAGTTTCTCGATTTCACAATTTTTTTTTTGGAAATTTTTCGTTTACTGGATTTTGCAATTTTTCGATGTGTCTATTTTTCAATGTTTCGACATTTCAATTTTGGTATTCTTCAATTTATCTATTTTCCAATTTTTCCATTTTTCAATTTTTGGCGTTTCTAAGTTTTCGGTTTGTAGAGTCTTCGAATTCTCCATTTTTTGACTTTCCGATTTCCCATTTTTACATTTTAATTTTTTTGATTTTTCCTATTTCTCGATTTCTCGGTTTGCCGATGTTCGAATTTCCCGATTTTTCGGTTTTCAATAGCTCAATTTTTAGATTTTTCAATTTTTATTTTTTTCAGGTACTTGATTTTTCAATTGTTTCATTTTTCTAATTTTCGATCTTTTGATTTTTCAATTGTTTGATTTTCCCAGTTTTCGATTTTTCGATTTCTCAGTCTGTCGACGTTTCAATTTTGGGATTTTTCGACTTAGATTTCTCGGTTTTTTATTTTTCGATTTCTCGATTCCTGAATTGTTCAATGTTTCAATTTGTCGATTTTTTAAATTTTAGATTTTTTGATTTTGAATTTTTTGGTTGTTCAATTTTTAAATTTCCCGATTTGTCAAGGTTTCGATGTTTTGATTTTTAGACTGTTTAATTTATAATTTTTCGTTTCCGCTGTTTCGATTTCTCGATCTTTTAATGTTTCTATTTCTCGATTTTTCAATTTTTCAATTATTCGAGTTTTCGATTTCTGGGTTTTTTCGGCTTTTCGTTTACTGGATTTTCCAGTTTTTCGATCTTTTTATTTTTCAATGTTTCGACTTTCAATTTTGGTATTTTTGAATTTATCTATTTTCCAACTTTTCGATTTTTCAAGTTTCTCGATTTCAGAATTTTTTTTTGGAAATTTTTCGTTTTCTGGATTTTGCAATTTTTCGATGTTTCTAGTTTTCAATGTTTCGACATTTCAATTTTTCGGTTTCGATTTTTGAAATTCGGAATTTTTGATTTCTCGTTTTTTTGATTTTTTAATTTCTCGATTTGTTGGTGTTTCGATTTCTCGACCCTGTAATTTTTTTTATAATGCAATATAATAATAATAATAATAATATTGCTCAACAGCTCGGTTTTTCCATTTCAAAAATTTTCGAATTCGATTTTTCAAGTTTTTCGATTAGACAATTTTTCAACATTTCAATTTTGGGAATTTTTCTTTTTCTAGATTTTCCAATTTTTCGATGTTTCTATTTTTCAATGTTTCGACATTTCAATGTTGGTATTTTTCAATTTATCTATTTTCCAATTTTTCGATTTTTTGGTTTCGATTTTTTGATTTCTCGTTTTTTTGGTGTTTCGATTTTCTGACTCTGTGATTTTTTTATAATGCAATATAATAATATTAATAATAATAATAATAATATTGCTCAACATCTCGGTTTTTCCATTTCAAAAATTTGCGAATTCGATTTTTCAAGTTTTTGGATTTCACAATTTTTCAACATTTTAGTTTTGGGAAATTTTCGTTTTCTGGATTTTTCAACTTTTCGATGTTTTTTCTATTTTTCAACGTTTCAACATTTCAATTTTGGAATTTTTCAGTTTTTCTATTTTCCAGTTTTTCGATTTTTCGGTTTAGATTTTCGGAATTTGGAATTTTTGATTTCTCGTTTTTTTTTTGATTTATCAATTTCTCGATTTTTTGGTGTTTTAGTTTCCCTGCCCTGTATTTTTTTTAATATTGCAGTATAATAATAATAATATTGCTCGACATCTCGGTTTTTCTATTTTAAAAATTTTTCGAATTCGATTTTTCAAGTTTTTCGATTTCACAATTTTTCAACATTTCAATTTTGGGAGTTTTTCAATTTCTGCATTTCTTGATTCCAGTTATTTTCTCCAAAAAACGGGTTTTTGTGGAAATAACCTTCGAAAAATTTTATTTTTACATGTGGTTGACCTTTTTTTGAGTTTTACAACATTTTTGAATTTCC